AAAGAGGCCCTCCATTGCGTACTCAGGAGACATGTAACCGCTACAAGGCATCACACCACATGAATTGCATCCATGATCAGAATCTAGTAAACCAATGTGTTACATGAACACACATCGATGATGCCGCGGGGGATGATGCTTACTATGTTCCGACGACTCTGTTTGTGTTTGCTTCATCCTGGTTGCCACCAAAAATTCTTGCCATGCCGTATGTTAGTTTAGCAAGTCCCATAGTCCCATATCGGGAAAATCAAATTTGTTGTCTCATCTTGGAACTATAAATAAGGGCCTGAACTTTGAAGTCAGATACACCACAAGAGGTACCATAAGTGGCACCATAAGAAAAACCTAATTGTTTGCTTTGGTTTAAGTTCATACTCAGTTAAATAGTTTGGACTTATAATTTGGTTTTTCTTATTTAGTATTTTCGGGTGTTTTATGGCCTAGGAACATCTTCCTAATGCATTTGTAATTGTCCCTTTTTTGCAGTAGTAATTTGCTCCTCTTTCGTCCGTGGATGTAGGTCAAAGTCAATTGACCGAACCACGTATATCTGGTGTTCTTGTCTCGCTTTTATTCTTTCCGTTTTATTGTCTTGTTGGGTTGCCAAAATTACTTTGTGGTAAATTTCCTGGGGCTAGCTCTAACAAACTGGTATCAGAGCCTGGTTTTGGGATCTTTTGGCAACGATGACAATAACAAAGATTGTTGTCGAGAAATTCGACAGAAATGTCAACTTCGGCTTGTGGCAACTCAAGATGGAGGTCATTCTAGTTCAAGACGGAGTTGATTTAGTACTACAGGGAGCCGAGAGCATTCCAGATGATATGTCAAAAGAAGAGCTTGCGGGTATGGATAAGAAGGCTCGATCAAGCATCATTCTAAATCTCTCTGATGAGGTTTTACGGGAGGTAGCTACGGAGACTATGGCTAAGAGCATGTGGGACAAGCTTAAAGCCTTGTACATGAAGAAGACAGTGGAGAATCGTCTCTACTTGAAGCAGAGTCTGTATATGCTTCGGATGATTGAAGGTACATCTATACTCTCGCATC